TCCAGTGCCACGTCAGACCATTCCAAAGCGTTTACGTGGGCGTGGTCTGCGTGCCAGACGACCTTGCGAGGGCACCCGACCACACCACCGGGTACAGGCGTCAACATCTTGCACGAGCATTTACGCCGGACGACGGGCCAGAGAGGGCCTCAAGTGTTGTTATCAAAATGGCCGACTTCCTGTGACTTTTCAACATTGCTCCTGGAGACGACTTTTTTTGTTTTTTGGCATGTGTGTGTGTCTCCACTCATGAAGGACACGCCAACCAAATTTCACACGAAATGAAACTGGCTTTGAGAGCTGATTTCTTTTTTTTTTTTTCCCCCTCCAAAAATTACAACATGCTCAGGCTCATAATATTGTTCATTGCAACGAACTGCATCATGTAAATCAGTTGACACCTTCACAAAAAGATCGCACACGTCAGTCGAAGGCCAAACAGATGTACGGCACTGCGTCATTAATCGAGAATGTTCAACACCTCCGACCCCAAAAGTGTGCAAGAATTTGAGTGTTGGGACAAAACAACTAATAATATAAAGAAATGTCCTTAAAATGGCGAGGAAAGCCAGTAGTCAAGAAACGGATTACTGGCTTGATTTTGGCATATTAAACCAGGCGACACGTTGGAATAATTAAAAGGGGGTGAGTGGTGGTGGTGGTGGTGGGGGGGGGGGGGAGGGGTCTTTTTAAACAGCTGTTGAAGAAATCGACGGCAACAACAACCTTTTGGGTCGTTTGGAAGTTCGAAGCAAGCCGCCTAGGACTCGCTGACATGTTTGTCAACGGGCAGGTGTTAGTGTTTGCCGTCGTCTTCTTCAAGTGGCGGATCGCTGACGAAAAATGAGGGGAAAAGAGCAACCGAAGCGCTTACACACAGCAGATAGTAATGTCTTATTATCTTCCGATGTTTTGTAGAAGTATGAATGTGGTCAGAAGGCCTTGTGTGCTGCATTCTGCGCGTCAGCTCGATGCAATCTTCCCTAGACTATCACACGGAAATCTTATTTGGATTATCAGGATTATTTTGGAAGAAATCTGATGAAAATAAGTCTTAGACTGCATATTTTTAGAGGAAAAAATGGGAATTTTATGATTATGTTGTCTTTTACGGTGGGAGAGGAGGGAGGAGCGATTTTGTCAGAATAAAGTTGGGGGATTTTAAAGACAAATAAATAATTAAAATAAAAAAACTAAAGTTGGAATCTTATTGGAACCTTGGTGACTTATTTGAGAAAATGGTTGTAATTTTGTGTGTTAAAAAAAGTTAGACTCTTCTAAGAATGAAGTCATATTTTTTGAGAAAGTGAAATCCAACACTAGTCTGAGAGATAAAGCAGTTTTTATTTCAAAATGTTTGAATCTTAAGGGAGGCATCAAATTTTATTTTTTTTAAAAAGCATTCATTTTGCAACAAAATCATTTCTTTTAAGAAAAAAAATTATACAAGTCATTTTTTCTTATTTCATTTTCAACAAAACAAGCAAAAGCGACATTGTGAGAAGCAACTTGCAACAATAAAAGGTGCAGTCAGCCTTACCTTTGGATGTTTCTGATCATGTTGCTTTTGTCTTTGGCTTGGCGATGGAAAAACAAGATGTAATAGGAAAGCTTGAAATCAAAACTTTGACTCCAAGGGAGATTAACTCATGCGAAGTTGTTCCGTCTCGTCCCGTTTTTATTCAGGTTCCGGTTAGCGAAAGCAACTAGCATTAGCTTGCCATTTCAGCAGAGAATAATGAAAACAAGCAATGCTGTCAAATTGGAAAAGGTTGCCACCTTGGAATGTGACCAACAATCACAATGCAGATGCTCCCTGCTCAGGTGAGGAGTCATTTCCTGTCACATGGTATTCACACTTGCCCCGCCCCCTAAAGAGGAAATTCCTCATATTTTCAGGTGTATATTACAAAACGGCATTCATGGAATAAATCGCACTGGACACGCCACAGACATGGTTCCCGAGATTTATCGACATGTTAACCTTTGACCCGACGTACGTGCTTCCCGGCCGGCCACAAATATTTTACTGCTGTCACTTTGCTTTACCTGTACAACTCCACTTGAGAATAAAGCATGAGAGAAATTGCAGAAGGACCAGAGGAGCAATGCAGTTTGACAGCTTGTTTTGTTTCGTTGTTTATTTTTGTTCATTTTAAAAGTTTCAAAGCTTGCTCGGTATCGGGGAACAAAGCACACAACAACAATGACGATTATTCCCCCCACCCCCCCCCACCCCCGAGTCAGCCTGACCGCTTGTTTATTGTCCGTTAGCATTAGCAATGTCATTAAAACACCAAAGAAGTGACACGTGAAATGTCGCCATGTTTGAGGAAGTCCACTCACCCTCCATGAATCGCCTTCTTGTTCAGGCGGCCTCCCCCTCCAACTGCACCAAGTGACCCCCGCACGGGGAAGTTTTAAGCAGCTGCCCTTTGACTCTCACGTCTCCACATTAACGCGTGAGAAAATAGTGAAATTATGACTACTTAACGCCGGTCGCTGTGTGTCTGGAGCTGTTGGCAATGACGCCGCGAGTCCTCAACGCCCCCGTAATGAACCCTTTCACACAGGCCTCTTATACATTTTTTTTTTTTTTTTTTGCCTTCATGAGAATAAAAAGCATAATTATACAGTGGGACTGCTTACACGATTATGTTTCGGGCTATTTCTAAAAAAAAAAAATGCAACTCGAACTATGACACTTGGTCATACTAAAGTCAAGGCTTTCTTTCAGGCCTGTGCAGGTCAATCTGTAGCTAAAGCTCGACCTCTAGTGGACAATATAAAAAGTACACTTGTTATTGCGGAATAATCAAGACTGCAGTTTGACATGTCCCAGTTTCCAATGTTGAGTGTCGTGCTTTGCTTTCCAATGTGACACATACAAATTTCATTGCTACGGTCCTCCAATGTGGCATTTTTATGCAGGCTATAAATTCAGCCTTCCAATGTGTCTTCTGCTGCTTTCCAAAGCGGCCTTCAAATGCAATCAAAATCAAATGGCCTTCAAATGCCTCATTCCAAGGAAGATTTCAATTGTCTATAATCTATAATTGCAGTCTTCAAATGTAGCCTATTAATGCAGCCAACAAATCCTAGAGTTGTTTTCCCATTTTTTGCAAGAAGCATCACTGTGATCCGATCTGTCCTTCAAATGCTGCCCTCAAGTGTGATGAACAAATGCCACTTTTGTATGAAGCCTCGAACAAATGCCTTCAACTGCAGGCTTCAAATGCTGTGACCTTCAAATGCTACTCTCTCCCAATTTTCGCAAATGTGGCCTTCTTCTGAAGTTTACAATAAATTCTGCCGTCAAATCCAAGCGTAAAATACTGTGGCCTTCAAATTGAGCCTTTGCATGTGGCCTAGGAATGCAGCCGTCAACAAATGCCTCTTTCAAATGGAGCCTTTACTTGCAGCTTACAAATCCAGCCTTCAATTCCAATTTGCATCACTGCAATGGTATTTCCTATCTCAAAGACAGTCTTCAAATATGGGAAATCGATGTTGCCTTCCAATACAACCTACAAAAGTGGCTTTTTAATGAAGCCAACCTTCCAATGTGACCTACAAGCACAGCATTCATGCAAATACAACGTAGAAATGTAGCCTTTCGATGTGGCCTTCAAATGTCGCCTACAAAATAAGCCTTCAAATGCAACCTGCAAATACGGGCCCTCAAATACAGCCTGCAAATATGGCCTCCCTCACCCATTTATTTGCAAATGCATCACTATCACTCGCAGGCTCCACTATCCCGAGATCCTTTGGGCTCCACTGACCCTGATGAATGCCACCTTCAAATGTGTGCTGAATGAATGAAGCTTGCCGATACGGCGTGACCAAAAACTGGGGGGAAAAATTTAATTTGACAAACGAACTGTGATGCAAATGAGTGACGCTTCTGGAGACGGGAATCCGCCAAAGGGGTACGCAAAAGATTCCTTCTTGATCCTCTGACCCTTAAGACCTTACCTGTCAATTCTGTCAAACCTTCGCCTCATGCATACATAAAACCCGAGCCTTCTTCCTGGGATTTTGCACTTCTTATCCACAGACAAGAGTCCTTATACCTCGTTCTTTTGTTGTTCCCAGCTGTTGCGAGGCTGTCAAAAGAGGTTGTGGGGGCCTTCCACCCCTGATCCTCAAGCCTAATGACGCCCCGGAGGAAGTGGGCCAAGAGGGCAGGGTTGCGGTGGGGGTGGGGTAAGAGGTCGCCCCATCCCTCTGATGATGACTTCACTTCATCATCCACCAGAGGATGAAGAGATCTTCAAAAGATGCTTTCAGGAATGACTTGTGAGGAACGACTGAGAACTTTCCGGGTCAGACGGCAGGTGCTCGGTGGCCGGGACAAATGATTATAAATGACTTGGAATTCCAGTCCTTCTGTCTCAACTACCCAGGAAAATAAGAATAGATATTTCAGAAATTTTGCTTGAATGGAAGGAATGGAATGGAAGACAAAATTGTCTTTTTTTTTTTAATTGGGGGTGAATGGGTGGGGTGAATAAAATAATCAGCATCGACTGTCTAGTATTCAATGATACAACAATGACCTCTAGTGGTGATTTGAAGAACTACTGCAGATTATTGCTTATGCGCGTGAATATTGAGACTCAAGTAAAAAAAAAAATTCGATATTCCATTAATATTCAAGCCCCGACTGTTTTGAGGAAATGCCCAAAAATCATCCATTGACTGACCTTTGATTTTCTTCCAGGCAAAGAGTAATATTTAAACAGCAACGATGCATGTTTGGACTGACAAGAGCTCTCGCGTCCCAAAAGAGCCGCACGTTCTGTCCTTTGAGTTGTGATCCGAGGCGAGGCTATTATGCACCATTAGGCTGTGAAATTATCTGATTACACAGAGTGGTGTTTTTAATGGCACTTCATCACATTATCTTTTCTTGAGGAATCAGAATTCAAAATGCGAAGCTTCATTGGGCTTCATTTTCAGAACTCGGCAGATAACTACTAATTCACTCAACTTAAAAAAAAAAAAAAGGGGGGGGCATTCTCCAATGACACAGTATGTCCACTTTAAACTACATAACAAACCTTCACATTGTATTCCGGCCAGTCGCGCGATCTCGCTCCAGATGGGGAAGTCTGTTTGTCAAACTTTGATTGACAGGCTGCTGAGCAGATGTCAAGGGCCGTCGGCGGTGGCAGTATAGCGGGCTGCTGTCCGAGCGGTGGCTGCTGGGCTGCTCCGCGGGCCGTGTTTGCTGGCTGGCATCGGCAGTCAAAGGCTGAAGCAGGCTTCTCCAGTGCTCTGTGACTGCGGACAAAACACAGTAAGTTAGGAGAGATTGCACAAAAAGCAACTCAACATCACATCACACCCAGACAATGGTTTATGTGAACCGTTGTTCACCTTGTTCCGTAGTCATGTGATTTGCCCTGGCAGAGGTGGAGGGAAGGTCCAGTTTCGGCGGTGGCGAGGCGTCCAAATCGGGACTCTCCTCGTAAGCCGGCTCGTCGTAATCCCAGAAGACTTTAGCAAATTGGTAGAGCTTCACACAGGAAGTGGCATTGACTAAAATGCTGGAGAGGACGAAGCAGATGGGAGACTTTTTAAAAGTCAAATGCGCACACGTACGCGACCGGCGCGTGAGGCTAACTTGTTCTCGCAGAAGTGCAGCGACAGCATGCGACCGGTTGTCTCGGCCTCCACCACAATGGTCCTCAGGCAGTCTCCCGTCAGGAAGTTGAAGATGCGGATCTTTCCGTCCACGCATCCCGTGACCACTCGAAGGTAAGCCAGTGTCAGAGACTTGACCTCCCTGTAGAAATCCACGATCATCGTCACAGCAGCGGCATCCATTCAGCGCGCAGGCTTTCTGCCTTGTCTGACACGCAGGCTTTCTGCCTTGTCAACTTACTTTGGATGACTGACGGTCATGAGGCATCCTTTGGTTTCACATCTGCTGCTCCATGCCATCACCTGACCGTTGGTGTCGGCGGACAGGAGGTGCCACTCGTCTACAAACATGCATCGCACGGCGCTGTTGTGGGCGTCGATCACCTAATGTGCGGCACAAATTAGCACGCAGCTCTGAGAGCGGGGACGGGCAAGCGGTGAAGGAGACTCTCACCCTGAGCAGCGAAGCGTTCTCGGCATCCCACAGCTTGACGACTCCACGGTCACAGCTACTGAACACGGCGGTGGCGTTGATCTTCACGCAGCGCACTGAACTGCGGTGCTTGAAGTTAAAGTCCTCCAGGTGCTTCTCGGTCTGCAGACTCCACACTGGCAGAGTGAGCATGTGCACAAAGATTAGGACACAGCAATTTGTCCAGTTACAGCATGCTAATGGAGCAGCATTAGCATGCCGCTCCATTTGACCCAAGGGTAACAGGCTGAATAAAAGGGGTCCAAGGATCGACCCTTGAGGGAACCCACACCATGGCCATTCGTTCAGATTCGAAACTTGCAATCATCACAATGGAACTATTTTCCTTCAAATACGACCTGCACCATTTTAGAATGGTTCTATTTACCTTTGGCGGTGCAATCTTTGGCACCTGACACCAGTCTATCAGCGTGGATGTCAAGGCAGTTAATCATGCTGGAATGACCATATAACACCAACACACACTGGTCCGTCCTCACGCTCCAACACCTACAATACGGCGGATGAGATCTGACTCAAAATGGCCGCGGTAGCCAATGAGCGGACGTACTGCCACTCACCTGATGCTGGTGTCGCAGCTCGCCGTGATGACCAGGTGACGCTCGGGGCAAAGCAGGACGACACGGATGCTGCCCACGTGGCCCTTCATCAGCCCCACCTGCTTGGTTGCGGTCCCCACGTACAGTAAACGCACAGCGCGGTCCTTGGACGCTGAGCTCAGCATGGGCCCGCCCTTGTAATCCACCACGCGGTGGGGGTCTTCACTGAAAAAGTCAACGTACCACCATGACATGGTCAAACTAAAAGCCTGATTGTTCTGTTACAACAGGGGTGGGCAAAATATGGACCACAGTATTATTATTAATCCTATCTCTCTTCTAATGACCTGACCCATCTCTGATGAATCAAAAAAAATCCCAGTCCTGATGGAAGACGCTCACCTGTCAATCAGCACAGACGTAAAATACGCGCCGCAGTAAATGTTGCGCTCCTCCATTCGCACTGATCTGGTTTTGATGTTAGCATAGGCCGCTTCAAAGGGCCACATCTGCAAAAACACAACCACATATTCATGCCGTAGGTTCTCGATTTCTGCCCATGTGTACAACAAACTCAAACCTTAATTTAATGTTATTCTATTGTTTTTCAATTCCTTACATGTGACGACTTCACTTCCCCGCTCTCGTGGTCCTCGGCCGGCACCGCGACGTCCACCATCCTGGCGTAGGAAGGGCTGACCATATGAACGCCTTTATAGCGCTAAAAAAACAAACCCCGTCCATGTCAGAAAAACACGGCCAACAACCATAATCATCTGCCACACCACCGTACCCACCTTCATCATGGCTTCCACCTGCTCCTGGTAGAGCTTCCTGAAACGTATCTCCTCCATCGTCTCCCCCGCCAGGTGCTTCCAGTGCTTGCAAACCTTCATGCAACGCTTCAGCATCGCCTCGTCGAGCAGCCCTGACTCCACACACAACATTCACATATAATTCAACCTGACTTTGGATGAGAGGCGGGGCACACATGGAGACAAACCGTTCGCACTCACGTCCACACACCTCCAATTTAAGGTCACGGAAGAAGAGTGAATCAACACGATACAATTTTGCACTGTTCTCTCTGGTTGAGCTTTTGGGAGTGTTATGGAATCAAAACACGTTACATGTGAGCGTGCCTTCTGCGGATGTGAACGTACCCAAAATCCTCTTGGACAGCTCGGTGGGAAGGCCGCCTATGAAGTCTCGGGGTCTGCTGAATCCTAACAAAGACTTTGAGGATCCGGCAGGAACCGGAAGAACAGGAAAAATGGCATCCTTTGTGGAGTCATCTTTGCTGGCTGAGTTGCTTTGTTTACTGGTGGAATTTTTCACTGCAAAGCACATCAGAAATATAATAATTGGATAAACATGTCTTCTGTGAGGTAACATGAGGCTGTTTTTTTTTTGGTTTTTTTTTACGTCACTGGAAGCAATTGTATGGTTGTTATCCTCAACGTGTCACACAAGCATGACAGCTGTCGCCATGCAAGTCGGAAGATCTTTTGAACTGCATTCGATGCACCAAATGCAATTTCTCTTCTTTATTGCAAGAAATGAATTCTATGAACGACACATGGGGGAATCATTTAATAGTGATTCAGTTTGGGGTGTTTGTAGCACTAGTTATGATGTCAACACAGGACAAAAATTGTATAAGCATGACAATTGCCATCATGCTAGAACATTTTGTGCACAGCATTCCATGTATCTGCTCAATAAAATTTCTCCAATTGTCAGGGAAAAATATATGTCTGTTTTCAAAATTGGTGCGATTTCTCCTCTTTCCTACTTGATACGAAGTTCGGAAAAGGCTCCCGGATTCTAATCCTTTAGTGGAACCAATAATATGAAAGGAGGTCAAATTTTGAAATTTTTACCGTCCAGCTGTCGCTGAAGCCTGGTCACCACCACACCGATGAGATTATTGGCCATACTCAGCAGCTCCGGGTCGCACTGCAGCAGCAACAGGCAAAGGTAGCGCGTCTGGACCCATTCCGGGCTTCTGTCGAACCATTCCCAGATCTCGCGGATCAAGGGCGACGGACGCGTCTTGCAGTCGAGCCGTGCGTAAAGCTCCGGCAAAGTCTTGCCCTTGGTTGGTGCGAAGCTGAGCAAGTTCCACGAGGTGAGGCGCAGCGAGCTCTGGATGTTCTCCAGCACCGGCACGCTCCCGCACCGCACCAGCAGCCCCACAACGAAACTCCGACGGGACCCGTCCGAAATCTTCCACAGATTCAGTGGCGAGGGCGAGGGCTGGCTTGTTCGAGTGCCGCAAAAGAGGCAGGACGGGCACATGCCACAGGGCTCGTCCGCATTCTTACACGCCGGCTGGCGGGCTGGCGATCTCGGAGACTTGGACATTTGGACTGGCTTGTTTGGG